GAGGGAGGAGGGGGGAGTCAGACAGACTGAGGAGGAGGAGGAGCAGGAAGAAGAGGAGGAAGGAGCATCAGGACACACAGACACACGGAGCCTCCGCCGCCGCCTCGCCGCCGCTGCAGCCGGACACACAAGCAGCAGACCCGGCAGCAGACCGGAGCCATGGCCGCCGAAGACCCCCGCACCACGGCCTGCACCGGCTCCAGCCTCCTGCAGCCGGTCAGCGAGATCACCAACCTGCCGCTGGACCAGGTAAGATCCTCCGGAGTGGGGGAGACATCGAGCTCCGAGGCCGGCTGCCGGGTCTCACTCACACGTGTTTGATGCGACATGCTCGGCCCGACAGGGGCGACATTACCGGGGCGGTGTGAGGGATGAACCGGGGCGGTTGTGAGGGATGAACCGGGGCGGTGTGAGGGATGAACCGGGGCGGTGTGAGGGATGAACCGGGCCGAGCACACAGGCGGAGCAACACGGTCCGTGCAAAATGGAAGCAGGCCTCACCGAGACAGGAAGGCGGATTTTAGAGCACAAACGGCCGGGTCTCACAGGCCCGGTGCAGAGAGGAGGTGCAGAGAGGAGGTGCAGAGAGGAGGTGCAGCAGAAACATGAAAACACAGATTTATGAAAAGCAGAGAAATCACAGCTGGGCCAATCAGCTGATCAACACAAAGACAGGAGACAGAATCATCTGTTTGACTTCTGCTCAGAAGGAGGGAGATGTTCTGTGTCCATACAGGCCAACAACAACACATCTTCATCTTCATCATCATCATCATCCATCATCATCATCAATCTTCATCATCTTCATCATCATCACCATCATTCATCATCATCATCTCATCAATCTATCATTCATCATCTTCACATCTTCATCATCATCTTCATCATCATATCATCATCATCAATCATCATCATCCTTCATCATCATCATCACATCATCTCATCTTCATCACCATCACCATCTTCATCATCCCATCAATCATCATCACCATCATCCACCATCTTCATCATCATCATCACATCTTCATCATCATCTTCATCATCAATCATCTTCATCTTCATCATCATCACCATCTTCATCATCATCATCATCATCATCATCATCACATCTTCATCATCATCTTCATCATCACCATCATCTTCATCTTCATCATCATGGGGGGTTAGGCGGGTTAGGGGGTTGGGGGTTAGGGGGTTAGGGGGGTTAGGGGGTTAGGGGGGTTAGGGGGGTTAGGGGGGGGGGGTTAGGCGGGTTAGGGGGGTAGGGGGGTTAGGCGGGTTAGGGGGGGTTAGGCGGGTTAGGGGGGGTTAGGCGGTTAGGGGGGGTTAGGGGGTTAAGGGACCGGGGACGGCTGCAACACTTTCTGAGAAACTATTTGGACCAAAAGAATCAGATTGAAGCCGTCTAACATGGCCGCTTGGCGTCCTTAATCTCACTTCTCCTCACCAACCAATCACAATCAAGACGGGGTGAGACTCCCGCTATCAACTTGTTAACATCAATGGTGGACAAGAAAACATGAAAAAAGTACTGCACGTATATTAGCTTAATGTGCGTGCATGGCGAGCTGTAGAGGATTTCAAAATAAAGCGATGAATGGGAAGATATGGGGGACGTCTCACACAGGGCAGAGGGGAGGGGCCAAAGACAGGAAGGGGCTGCAGCAACAGTTAGCACTCTGAATGAGGGACAACCAGCTGGTGACAATAAAACATTGTATTACTGTTTATATATAAACATTATATTACTGTTTGTCTTTTTAAGATTTATTTTTGGCTTTTGTTCCTTTAAAGGAAACTTCACCATGAAAACATGAATCTGTGTTGACATTGGGTCATATATGTAGAAATGTGAAATACATTTTGAAGTTGGAGCCTTCTTGACTGAGAAAAGACAGAAAGTGTCTTTTTGGCTCATGTGGATGAAAGACACCAAATCCCAGAATGCACAGCACAGCAGGCCACTCCCACTAAGGTCTCTAGTCAGAATCAGAAACACTTTATTAATCCCAGAGGGAAATTCGATTGTTACAGTTTCTCAGTATAGCAGTAGAAATATAGAAATAAAAACATGTACAGACATATTTACTTCAACACATCAACAGACTCTGTGTCCAAACACTGGAGAGCACCGACACTACCAGACCCCCCGACTCGAGCCGGCCCGGCTCCTCGTCCTCACCGCCGACAGGCAGACATCATGTCTCGGCTGCTGAGCTGGCAGCGTCCAGCAGTATGCTGCGAAGATGTCGTGGCCAGAACACAAGACCGCCTGTCAGCAGCCGTCTCACGGCTTTATTTAGATTTTTTCTCCATTATCAGCTCTCTCCATAGAGCCTGTTGCATAGCTTCAAAGCAACATGGCGGACGTTAAGTTTAGATTCTGGGAGTGAGGCCCCACCCACTGATCTGTGATTGGTCTGTAGCTTCAGCTCCTTTTCAGACTCAGAAATACAAAGATTTAACATCTCAGGGGAAAATGAAGGCGGGATGCACAAACATTCAGAAATACTACCAGGTTTCTAATGATGCTAAGCTAAATGCTAATGGGTGAAGTATCCCTTTAAAGAGAGAGAGAGATGACATGCAGGAAGGAGGCGTGGTTACAGCGACGTTTATAAACCAGGAGCTTCACTTACACACACACACACACACACACAGACCGCACACACACACACACACAGACCGTCACACACACACACACACACCACACACACACAGACCGTCACACACACACACACACACACACACAGACACACACACACACAGACCGTCACACACACACACACACACACACACAGACCGTCACACACACACACACACACACACACACACACACACACACACACACACACAGACCGTCACACACACACACACACACACACACACACACACACACACACAGACCGTCACACACACACTCAGACCGTCACACACACACACACACACACACACACTCAGACCGTCACACACACACAGACCGTCACACACACACTCAGACCGTCGCACACACACACAGACCGTCACACACACACACAGACCGTCACACACACACTCAGACCGTCGCACACACACACTGACCGTCACACACACACTCAGACCGTCGCACACACACACAGACCGTCACACACACACTCAGACCGTCACACACACACACAGACCGTCGCACACACACTCAGACCGTCGCACACACACTCAGACCGTCGCACACACACACAGACCGTCACACACACACACAGACCGTCGCACACACACTCAGACCGTCACACACACACTCAGACCGTCACACACACACTCAGACCGCGCACACACTCAGACCGTCACACACACACACACACACACACACTCAGACCGTCACACACACACTCAGACCGTCACACACACACTCAGACCGTCACACACACACACAGACCGTCACACACACACTCAGACCGTCACACACACACTCAGACCGTCACCCACACACACACAGCGCTGATCCCCTCTCGTCTCTGTACCGACATCTACACAAAACAAGTAATCAGGAGCAGGAGGCTCGTAATGAGCATGTGCGGGGTGCTGGGCTTTGTCAGCGGTGTAACAGGTAGATGAAGACTGGATCACCATGGCAACCTGTTGCTAGGACACATCACACGGTAGCTGAGCGTAAAGTCTCTCTGCGTTGAGGTTTTGAAAAACAGAAGCAACAACCAGGAAGTTTGTGATGACTAACTTCTCTTTCTGAAGCATCTTGTTTCAAATCTGACTGAAGAGCTGAAGTTTTCTTGAAGCTGTCTAAACTTCACGATAATTTGGATCATTGAAATGACAGAGAGCGTTGTCGTGTGTTTGAAGTCATAGAGTCCAAAGCGTGATGTGTTTTCTATGATTTAAAGTATGGATGGGAACACGACCTCTGACCTCTGGGCTGCAGGTTGTTTCCTGTCGTCTCCTCCATCATCCTGAGCAGCTCGTAAGTCTCTGCAGACGGAGGAGGAAACACCGGAGAGGGCGGCTTTGAATCGCTCACTTTACACGCCGTTCATTATTAGTGAACAACATATCAACAAGCGTCGGCTTTTTCACTTTACAGCTGATCAGATGTTATGTTCGACATGATGAAACTCTGTCTGTGGTGTCTGAAACACAACACGCTGTCTGCACAGCCAAAACAAGAGCCAGGCGAGTTCGCACAGAAACAAGAGAACATCGAACCTGAAGCAGATCAAATTTTAGACCTCAGCGTGCCCGAGGGCTCAGCCTGGCAGGACAAACTCAGGGCAAACGATCAGCCTGACAGGACAAACTCAGGGCAAACGCTCAGCCTGGCAGGACAAACTCAGGGCAAACGATCAGCCTGACAGGACAAACTCAGGGCAACGATCAGCTGGTAGGACAAACGCTCAGCCTGGCAGGACAAACTCAGGGCAAACGTTCAGCCTGGCAGGACAAACTCAGGGCAAACGAACATCCTGCAGGACAAACTCAGGGCAAACGAACAGCCTGGCAGACAAACGCTCAGCCTGGCAGGACAAACTCAGGGCAAACGAACAGCCTGGCAGGACAAACTCAGGGCAAACGCTCAGCCTGGCAGGACAAATTCAGGGCAAACGCTCAGCCTGACAGGACAAACTCAGGGCAAACGCTCAGCCTGACAGGACAAACTCAGGGCAAACGCTCAGCCTGACAGGACAAACTCAGGGCAAACGCTCAACCTGACAGGACAAACTCAGGGCAAACGAACAGCCTGGCAGGACAAACTCAGGGCAAACGCTCAGCCTGACAGGACAAACTCAGGGCAAACGCTCTAGAGTTAGCTCGTAGATGTTGATGGACTCATTTCTCCCGATTGTCTGTCTTTGGTTTTCAAACACGTTGACGAGTCACGAGTCCTTTTGGCGTCTCGTAAAGATGCAGAGTTGCGTTTCTGATTGTGTGTGTGTGTGTGTGTGTGTGTGTGTGTGTGTGTCTGACTGTGTGTGTATCTGTGTGTGTGACTGTGTGTGTGTGTGTGTGTGTGTGTGTGTGTGTGTGACTGTGTGTGTGTGTGTGTGTGTGTGTGTGTGTGTCTGACTGTGTGTGTGTATCTGTGTGTGTGTGACTGTGTGTGTGTGTGTGTGTGTGTGTGTGACTGTGTGTGTGTGTGTGTGACTGTGTGTGTGTATCTGTGTGTGTGTGACTGTGTGTGTGTGTGTGTGTGTGTGTATCTGTGTGTGTGTGTGTGTTTGTGTGTCTGACTGTGTGTGTGTGACTGTGTGTGTGTGTGTGTGTGTGTGACTGTGTGTGTGTGTGTGTGTGTGTGTGTGTGTGTGTGTGACTGTGTGTGTGTATCTGTGTGTGTGTGACTGTGTGTGTGTGTGTGTGTGTGTGTGTGTGTGTGTGTGACTGTGTGTGTGTATCTGTGTGTGTGTGTGACTTTGTGTGTGTGTGTGTGTGTGTGTGTGTGACTGTGTGTGTGTATCTGTGTGTGTGTGACTGTGTGTGTGTGTGTTTGTGTGTCTGACTGTGTGTGTGTGACTGTGTGTGTGTGACTGTGTGTGTGTGTGTGTGTGTGTGTGTGACTGTGTGTGTGTGTGTGTGTGTATCTGTGTGTGTGTGTGACTGTGTGTGTGTGTGTGTGTGTGTATCTGTGTGTGTGTGTGTGTGTTTGTGTGTCTGACTGTGTGTGTGTGACTGTGTGTGTGTGTGTGTGTGTGTGTGTGTGTGTGTGTCTGACTGTGTGTGTGTATCTGTGTGTGTGTGACTGTGTGTGTGTGTGTGTGTGTGTGTGTGTGTGTGACTGTGTGTGACTGTGTGTGTGTGTGTGTCTGTGTGTGTGTGACTGTGTGGTGTGTGTGTGTGTGTGTGTGTGTGTGTGTGTGTGTGACTGTGTGTGTGTGTGTGTGTGTATCTGTGTGTGTGTGTGTTTGTGTGTCTGACTGTGTGTGTGTGTGTGTGTGTGTGTGTGTGTGTGACTGTGTGTGTGTGTGTGTGTGTGTGTATGACTGTGTGTGTGTATCTGTGTGTGTGTGTGACTGTGTGTGTGTGTGTATCTGTGTGTGTGTGTTTGTGTGTCTGACTGTGTGTGTGTGACTGTGTGTGTGTGTGTGTGACTGTGTGTGTGTGACTGTGTGTGTGTGTGTGTGTGACTGTGTGTGTGTATCTGTGTGTGTGACTGTGTGTGTGGTGTGTGTGTGTGTGTGTGTGTGTGTGTGTGTGTGTGACTGTGTGTGTGTATCTGTGTGTGTGTGACTGTGTGTGTGTGTGTGTGTGTGTGTGTGTGTGTGACTGTGTGTGTATCTGTGTGTGTGTGACTGTGTGTGTGTGTGTTTGTGTGTCTGACTGTGTGTGTGTGACTGTGTGTGTGTGTGACTGTGTGTGTGGTGTGTGTGTGTGTGTGTGTGTGACTGTGTGTGTGTGTGTGTGTATCTGTGTGTGTGTGTGACTGTGTGTGTGTGTGTGTGTGTGTGTGACTGTGTGTGTGTGTGTATCTGTGTGTGTGTGTGTTTGTGTGTCTGACTGTGTGTGTGTGACTGTGTGTGTGTGTGTGTGTGTGTGTGTGTCTGTGTGTGTGTGTGTGTGTCTGTGTGTATGTGTGTGTGTGTGTGTCTGTGTGTCTGACTGTGTGTGTGTGACTGTGTGTGTGTGTGTGTCTGTGTGTGTGTGTGTGTGACTGTGTGTGTGTGTGTATCTGTGTGTGTGTGTGACTGTGTGTGTGTGTGTGTGTGTGTGTGACTGTGTGTGTGTGTGTGTGTACCTATGTGTGTGTGTGTTTGTGTGTCTGACTGTGTGTGTGTGACTGTGTGTGTGTGTGTGTGTGTCTGTGTGTGTGTGTGTGTGTGTCTGTGTGTATGTGTGTGTGTGTGTCTGTGTGTCTGACTGTGTGTGTGTGACTGTGTGTGTGTGTGTGTGTCTGTGTGTGTGTGTGTGACTGTGTGTGTGTGTGTCTGTGTGTATGTGTGTGTGTGTGTGTCTCTTGCAAAGATGAAACCTGATGAACCTCTGAGTCTCTTGCCCTCTGTGTTGTCTGCAGGTAACTTTGTGGTGTGTCTCTTTGCCCTCTGTGTTGTCTGCAGGTAAACTTTTGGTGTGTGTCTTTGCCCTCTGTGTTGTCTGCAGGTAAACTTTGTGGTGTGTCTCTTTGCCCTCTGTGTTGTCTGCAGGTAAACTTTGTGGTGTGTCTCTTTGCCCTCTGTGTTGTCTGCAGGTAAACTTTGTGGTGTGTCAGCTCTGCGCTCTGCTCTCGGCCTTCTGGTTCCGCCTCTTCCTCCATCCCAGTAAGACCAGTCCCTTCATCAGACACGTGGTGGCCACTGTGCTGGGACTCTACTTCGCTCTCTTCTGCTTCGGCTGGTGAGTAGGAAAGCAGGACGGAGCGATACCTCGCCGTAAATGAAGACAATACATTTAGAGCTCCCCCTTGCTGATTGGCTGCAGTACAGCTCATAAGCTCCGCCCTTCCATGTTAACAGATGGGTCAAATACACGTCAGTTTGTTTCTCTGAGAAGTTTAAGTTTGATTTGATGACATATAAAGGAGTGTAACAGCATGATTGATTGACAGCTGGGTTGACCAATGAGGCTCCTGCGTTGCTGTCATTGAACTTTCCATTACCGTGAAAATCTGCTTCAAACAGACACAAGGATGTGAACCCACCTGAGCGACCTTTGACCTTTTAGCAGGAAGGTCAAGGTGTTTTTGTCTCAGACACATTGGTTGGTTAATACAATATTTAACTATTTAAGGTAAAGCTGGCGCTGAGGGGTGTGGCATTTTCGGCGGCCAGTTAAAAGTTACCAACCGAGTTGTCCAATCAGCGTGCAGAAGTTTACCTGCAGCTTCCTCTCCTCCACACCTGTCTGATGAATTAGATGTTGTTTCTTAAAGTGTTGGTACTTTTGGATTCCATCGATGATTAAAATAACAGACATCGTAAAGTATCAAAGTACCGTTTGTGTTGACAACCTCACTTCCTGTGTTGTCCAGGTACGCCCTTCACTTCCTGTTTCAGAGTGGACTCACCTACGGCATCATGATCCTGACTGGAGTGGAACACATGCACAAGTAAGCTTCAGGAAGTGGAAGGGGGGGACTCACTGACTCACTGCAGGAGACAGACTCTAGTGGACACTGGAGGAACTGCAGCTGTAAAGTTAGACATTTTAACATAGAGCTCTATGGGACTGACTCACTGCAGGAGACAGACTCCAGTGGACACTGGAGGAACTGCAGCTGTAAAGTTAGACATTTTAACATAGAGCTCTATGGGGACTGACTCACTGCAGGAGACAGACTCTAGTGGACACTGGAGGAACTGCAGCTGTAAAGTTAGACATTTTAACATAGAGCTCTATGGGACTGACTCACTGCAGGAGACAGACTCTAGGACACTGGAGGAACTGCAGCTGTAAAGTTGGACATTTTAACATAGAGCTCTATGGGGACTGACTCACTGCAGGAGACAGACTCTAGTGGACACTGGAGGAACTGCAGCTGTAAAGTTAGACATTTTAACATAGAGCTCTATGAGGACTGACTCACTGCAGGAGACAGACTCTAGTGGACACTGGAGGAACTGCAGTATTTGGTTGCTTGGAGGATGCAGCTTAGTTGACTACACTCTGTCTGGGTTCAAAGATTTTCTCAGGGCCAGATTTGCTCCTGGTCTGTGATCTTTGACCTCCCCAGTGGACACTGTCAGTGTTTTTTTTCCTGGTGTTCACAAACAGCTGATTCAGCGTCTTGTTCTTCACTGATGTTCTGCTGCCTACAGGGGCCTGCTGATGATGTCATGATGATGTCATACTTAATACTCGGGTCCCTTGGTCTTGTCTTTGTGGCAGAGAGCTTTATCTGTGTGTTTATTCAAAGCTTCCCGGTACAACCACAGAGAGAATCAGAGAGAGAAAGTCACTTAGGTGGATGTTCAGGAATCAAACCTTTAAAAAGTTTAATCTATTTCATAAGACAAGTTGCACAGTGTGCTGGAGTTTACCTGCAGTTTTTTGGTCTTTAAAAACAAGAAATGACCCAGTGTTGTTTCCTAGGACTTCTGTTTTTGTTGCCATGGTATTAAACAGGTATCGATTGATTTTGAATAGAATCATATCCAAGTTTAAAATGTGTGTTTGATACCAACCCTACGTCCACCATGAGCTTCTGAAGAGAGGTTCTGAAGCCTGACTCTACCTCACCGTGTGTCCCAAGCGGGCGTCGGCGACAAGGTCAGCTTAACTCTAATGTTTCCTATTTGAGGAAAGAGGAGTGGAGGCGGGGCTTAAAGCAACAATATGAAGGAATTTGGTTCGCTGAACCTTGATGCCAACTAAAGGTCTTTAAATGTAACTGCACTGTATTGAGGCAAAACATTTAGAACACGCCCACCTTTCAGTCAACCAAGCCACTCCTCCAATTATGCAAATGTATGAATGACTCTTAGTCCTGATCAAATCAAAATGGCTGAGTAATAAAAATCTTAGCCCCATACAGAGTGTGCAGATAAAATAAGAGCTGGGACCTGATGGGGACTGACTCACTGCAGGAGACAGACTCTAGTGGACACTGGAGGAACTGCAGCTTCTGTCCTGAAACCTGAAGATCAGAAGGAGCCTGCTGTTGTTTTGCAGCTATAATGAGCACAGCAGCCTGTAGGGGGCACTAACTGGGTGGGTGTTTGATTTGCAGGTACTGCCTCCTGGTGGCTCTCAGCTATCTGAGTCTGTGTCAGATCACTCGAGTGTACGTCTTCGACTACGGCATGTACTCTGCAGACTTCACAGGGTGAGCCGGCTGAAACATCACACTTTTATATTCCTGATGTTTCTCTCTGAATAAAGTCAGTGAGGTGTTCTCATGTCTCTCTGCAGCCCCATGATGGTGATCACACAGAAGATCACCAGCCTGGCCTTTGAAATCCACGACGGTAAGAGTGGGGTGACTTGTAGCCTCATTCAGTTTGTTGTTGTTTGAATGTTTTTAAAGTTGAGTTTGGATGTGTTTGGAGCAGGATGGCACGGAAAGAGGAACATCTGACTCCAGGACAGAAGATTCTGGCCATAAGGTTTGTGTCATTACAGCATCTCTTTTCAAAAACATTTCTAAACATGGTGTGGTCTTTTATTATCTATAGAGCTGTAAACATGCTTAACCCTCAGCATCAGTTTAATTTACGACCCTCTTAAGTCGTTAAGGACAAAAATGTCCACTTACAAAAACTGCTATACAAATAGAACAGATTGGTATTTTTTCTACTTTTTTTGCATGAATCTCTTTAACAACTTCAGCCCTGCTCAAAACTACCAAACATTCAATCATTTTTAGGAATTAACCCTTTAAATGCCAGAATTATGTAATCAAACTGGCATTTAAAGGGGTAAATTCCTGATAATTATTCAATAGTTAGGGCGCGCTGGTTGCGCAATGGTTGGGTTAAGGTTGTATTGATGTATTGAGACTCTCGTCTCGAGCGTAGGCTCGGGTTCGCTTCCACCCGTGGCCCCTTTCCACATGTCATTCCCCGCTCTCTCTCCCTGGTTTCAGACTCTGTCCACTGTTCTCTCTCTGCATTAAAGGCACGAAAAGCCCAAAATAAATCTTAAAAAAAAATAAAAAAGTATTCAATAGTTGATAGTTTTGAGCAGGGCTGAAGTTGTTTAAGAGATTTTGGCAAAAAAAAGTAGAAAAAAATATCAATCTGTTCTATTTTATATCAGTTTTTGTAAATTGGACATTTCCGCCCTCCAATGTCCAAACAGGGAACTACATTTTAAATCTGATGCTACACAAAAACTAACAATGCATCAAAGTCAATATTTTGGATAATCTTTGACATATCCAAGACTGATTTAAAAAAAATCCCCCAGCCACCAAATATTTGTTTTATGAAAATAACTAATTTTTGTGTTTTTATTTCATAAATAACAAACAGTGACATCAAGTAATCAAACTGGCATTTAAAGGGTTAAATTCCTAAAAATGATTGAATGTTTGGTAGTTTTGAGCAGGGCTGAAGTTGTTTAAGACATGTATGCAGAAAAAAGTAGAAGAAAATATCAATCTGTTCTATTTTTATAGCAGTTTTTTGTAAGTGGACATTTTTGTCCTTCAGAGGACTTCCTTGTGACTTCAGAGGGTAGTAAACAT